AGGGGTCTTGGGGTCTTCCCTAGGGGACACCTCAAACACACAGAGGTCCCGACGCGAGGTCGGTGCTTGTGACAGGCGCAGGGACTGGGCTGGGTGAGAGTATGGGGCAGGTCCCAGGGATAGGTCACCCACAGGGGCAGCTCCAGCCAGCTGCTTCCTTCCTCCTCCTCCTCCTCCTCCTCCTTCCTCAGGAAAAGCCATAACTGAGCCACAAGCATGTGCCTGGCTCCCTCAGGCTGTGCACAAGGTGACCCCATAAATTTGCAGGGCTGAGGTGGTTCCATGGCACTGTGGGCAGTGCTGTGCCAAGCAGGGTGGGGTGCCGGGCTGGTGGGAAGCACAGGGCATGGGAAAAGTTGATATGGGGGGTGAGTGCTGGACCCCACACCTTGGACCCTGGGGTGCTGTGCCCCTCTACACACAGGCAGCCCCATCCCATCCCACTCCGTCCTGCTGGCGAGCAGTGCGGGCACCGCTATTTATGGCTGGCTGTAAACAAACTCCCAATGAAAGAAAGTTAATGACCTGAGACTGACAGGAGCCTGCTGGGAGTTTTTATAGCCCCTGGGACTCCTTTTGCTAAAGAGAGAATACATCAGCGTTTTAACCCAAAGCAGCGAGAGCCGGGTGGTGTGGGGACTGGGGGGTGGCCCCAGCATGGGGAAGTGGAGGGGCTGGTGCTGAGAGAGGAGGGGGTTTTGATGGGGGGAACTCACTCTCAGCTCTGTGTCTGTCTCCCTGTGTGGGACTGGGGTGCACAGCCCCCTCCTCGGTAGGCACGTCCCGGCATCGGGGGCTCTCCAAGGCTTTGCCATCTGCCTCTTGTAGGTCATCTCTGCCACGCTCCAGGCGAGAGCGGGAGCTGGCTTAGCGTGGCTGGTAACCACACACTAATAAAGCCTTAATACCCTGCAGCGGGGAGATTTCGCTGTCAGAGATAAATATTCATATTGCTTTCCAATTCAGCCTTGGCTGCACGACAAGGGCGCTGTGGGGGGAGACGGAAAGGCTGCGGTGTGGGGTGCTCCGAGCACCGCTGGCTGCCCTGCCCACTCCTGCCTGCCTGCCTGCCTGTTGTGTTTGATATCGTGTCCTGGCTAATTGTGGGGTGTGAATATCATCCCTGGTGCTCTGGGATGGCGAGTGTGGCACAGGGTGCCCCTCTCAGCCCGCTCCCCGCCTGCTCCTTCACCGCCGCCTCGCACGCGCAGCCTCCATCTGCACGCGACGCTTGATTTACCGAGAAGAGCTGGCAGTTAAACCTGACAAATTGAAGGCGGTTTTAAGTGGTTCAGGTTAATTAATAGTCAGGGAAGTATCAATTTTTTAAGGGATGCTCTTGGCTCGCAGGGAGAATTGGAGCTTGACTTTGCCTTTGGAAAGTAACACCATCTGCGCGGTGCCCATGAGCAGGGGGATGGAGCCTTGGGAGGGGGATGGAGCTGGGCAGGGGGCTGAGCTCAGTGCTATCACTCTGGTTCCTGTCCCAGCCTTACATTGCTGCTGATGTTTTGGACCTCGTGTGGCTGGTGCTGAGGGATTTGCCAGGATGGGGAGGGATGGGGCTATCCTGCACGGCCCAAGCCTTGTTGCTCATCTCGGGTGCCCTGTGGGGCTCTGGTTGTCCTCTCTCCTTTCATGATGACCTGCTTTGGTCTGTGCCATGGCAGCAGTGCTGGTGTGTAAACTGTGCCAGTAACCAGAGAGCTTCAGTCATAGCCACCTGTAGTGGCACAGCTGGGCTGCCGTGGGTGTCCGTGCTCCCCTGGTGGACCTGGGGATGAGCAGGAGCATTAGTGGGATCATGGGGGTCCATCCGGGGCTGAGGCTGGCAGGTGATGTGGATGAACTGGAGCAGCACCCACTCCCCCAGGTTCCTGCGCTCGTGGCCCATGTGCTCACATGAGCTCTGGCCATGGGAGTGCCAGAGGGGCAGATTTTAAAAAACATCATAATGAAAGAAGCTTAATCTCCCCTACACAGAGGAGAGGCGGCTGGTCTGTGGGTCTGTGCAGCACAGGAAGCCTCAGAGCTGTGTATGATAAAGACTCCATGGCACAGGGACCTGAGCAGTGGCTGTGGTGGTCTCGGCACTCCGGTGCCATGAGGTGCTCCAGGGGAGGGCACCTTCAGGCCCTCGTTCAGGGCCGTCTGCTGGAGTAGCTGTGAGCCTTCACCAGACCATGTGCTCTGTCTTTCCCAGCACAGACCAGGATGCAGGTGGAAGTGGTGGGTTTCCAGCAGCCCTAATGCTTGGGAATATGAGAGATTAAGGTTAGTGACCATTTTTTAACTCAATAAAGGGGAAGACAAGCTGGAGTCTGCAGTCCAGAGATATAATTAGTTCGCAGCAGTGGTGCTTTCTTGATTTAGCTTCAGAGAACAGAACAAGACAAGGATGTTATACCCAATTAGCAATAACATACAGCCAGAGCCTCTCTAGGTGAGATAACAAGCCATTTTTATAGCTCTTCTTTACGGACTTTTTTTTTGGAAAGGGGGGGAAGAAAGAAAGGGACCGAGTCTTTATTTCTTTTCATCAGGGAATAATTATTAGTGAGCTCAGAAAGCCCAAAGCTGAGTGATCTGTTGGCCAATGCAGATGATAAAACAAATCAAACAGCCTGGAGCTGGGCTGAGGCCGTCTGTCCATCCATCCGGGGGAGGCTGAGCCGTGTCCTGGCAAGGACACGGACAAGGGCCACCCACACACCGTGGATGTGTCCTGTCTGCTGCTGCAAGGGTTTATGGCATGTGGCCTGGCAGTGCCACTCACTGCCCTGGAGGGACCTGGTGCAGGCAGGGTGGCCATCGGTGCTGCTGGCTGTGCCCTGAGCCGTGTCCCCTGGTGGGCACATCGGTCCCCAGCAATGCGACCCTGAGCTGTGTCCCCCCTCGGGCATGATGGTCCCCCAGCAATGCAATCCCAAGCCGTGTCCCCCAGCAGCACTCCTGTCCCCAGGGAGGTGACCCAGCCGTGTCCTCTGCTGAGCCCCGGTCAGATGGCAGCCGCCTGCTGTCTGCCAGCGCCGCTCTCCCTTTGTATTGCGGATCGATGGCCATTGATTTTTCCTCCCGTGTAAACCTGGACGGGCCGGGACCGTGCAGGGTTTTCGTGCTCGTCTGGCTCCATCTCTCCTGTGGCCGTGCTCGGAGCAGCCCGTGCTGGGCTTCACAGTCCACCCACCTCCCTCTCGCCTCTGGAGCGACAAAACTCAAGGACATCTGAGAAAACAGCCTTGTAAAGAGTCAAGGAAACTCGGGTTTCATTAATCAGCTTTTAATGACAGGCTCTGCTGTTTGCAGTCGCTCCCCAGGGCAGCACTTCCAGCCCCTCCTGTGGTACCTGCTGGGGACTGGGCTGTGGCAGCTGGTTTGGGGCACCTGTGGGAGCAGGGTGGCCCAGTGATTCCTTCAGTATGGGGCATCCCTGGGGATACTCCTTTGAGGGGGCTCAGTGTAGGGACATTCTCCCTCCTGGTGTTACCACTTTGCAGCCACTCCTCTCCCATGGGGCAGAGTCAGGGGAGGGGACAGGGGGTTGCTGTACCCTCCCTGTCCTTTTTGTCCCCTTGCCAGAGTTTCACAGCCCAATAGGAGTGTTCCCTCCCTGGGGGACCTCTGGCTTCATGGGAGCTCCCAGATCCATCCCACTGCACCCTCAGCCCACCATGGGGAGCATCTCCCCTGCATGATGGGGACAGGGCTGGGGACATCCCCGCTTGTCCCCAGCAGCCACGGAGCCACTCTCTGGACTATTAACACTCTGCAATGATCATCAGCTCTCGTCGTAATCATTAAGACTATTAGAAAGAAATGTTGGCTCGAAGCTCGTGTCAGACTTTCCGTTCTGCTTTGCAAACGCGCACAATTAATGCCAATCAGGCGGGGGAGGCAGCCAGCTCGGATCCCGGCTGCTCCCAATCCCGGCTGTCAGCTCTCCCCATCCCGCCTGGTACATTTTCATACAATTGCTACAAACATCTGAGGGAAACTCCGCGTTCTTAGGCAGCGCTGAGTATTGTTCTCTGTTCCTTTTAATTACTCGGCATTCAGCAGCTCATCCGGCCCCGGATCGGTGGGGAAAGTAGGGATTTGTAAAACAAATGTAGAAATCTGGAGAGATGCCTTATTTTCCCATTTGGTGGCTGCATTAGGTTGTCTATGGCTAAATAAGAAAAAAATATTTAATTTTTCTTTGTCTTTTTCTTCCCCCCCCCCCTCCAATGTTGCTTTCTCCCTCTGGGGACACAGTCTGGTCCCTGTCCCTCAGGGAACCCCAGAAGCAAGGTGAGCTTGGGACAAGGGGGAAAAAGAGCAGGAATTACTTGGCCGGATGGTGGTATAATCCTTGTTACAAAAGTACACATCAATTATAAGAATTCCTACAGTAATCTTGGAAATCTATCTTTTCTGCTGAACCAGCTCATTAAAGAGCACCATTCATTTCCATCTCTCCGGGTGAGAAGGGTTTAAATCTCCAGAGCTTTGTATTACCAAATAGACTGAGGGTGGTGGACTCGTGTTAAATATTAAAAGGAAGAAGTTGATTTTTATTTTTTTCCCCCTTTTTCCCCTTCTTTTCCCCTAGACTGGCAGCCAGATGAAGTGTACTGTACAGAGGGGAGGGTGGGGGGTCCCTGCCATGAATGCTTTCCCCAGCTGTCAGTAGGTGACAAGGGGCTGCATCTGAGGACCCTCCTCACCTCCTCTTGCCCAGAGACCCCCACCAGTGTCAAGGGAGAAGGGAGGGAGGTTTCCCCAGGCCACCCTGGCAAGGCCCTGAGCCTGCGCCGGACCCGGCCGTGGCACAGGCAGGGCTTTTGTGTGCGGGCAGGGCAGCAGTGGCCGCGGGGCGAGGGACGGGCACAGAGCCCCTTTGTGTGCAGCTGCGAGCGGGGCAGCGGTGACAGAGCAGGATGTGGGGATACGGACCTGCCATGGGGATGGGGAGTTGGGAGAGAGGCTACCCAGGGATGGGGAGTGGGACCCGGGGATGGGGAGCAGCGGCCGACCGGGGTCGAGGGCGGCACAGGGCGATGTGTGCACTGCGCCGAGGCTCTGTGCAAACATGCTAATTTGTTTTCTTTCTTGCCTCGCCTTTCAGGGTAATTGGTTGCATTTGAAGCCTTTGTGAAAGCCTTTGATTATAGTAATTTCAGCAGCGCGATCTACCCTGGATTCCTTCGTCAGATTCTTTCACAGCTCAGGCACTCGGGGCTGTAATTACGGAGCAGCGCACGCCCGACTGCCACAGCTGGGGCACTGCGGTGCTGCCACTGTGGCCATGGGGGCACAGGGACCTGTCACTGCGAGGGGCAGTCGGGCCACTAGGATGGGGCAGGAGGGAGCCAGGATGGGGTAGGAGCTGTAGTGGAGAGCTTTGGTCTCTGCTGTGTTGAGTTTGTTGCATCTCAGCTGGAGACGTAGGTGCTGCAGGTGTCCAAGGTGTGGATGCCCATGCTGGGGTGGGGTCCAGGGTGCTTTTAATTGCTGCTCTGGAGGCCTTCCTAGAGCAGCTTGGCTTTTCTGATGGTTTGATCCCGTGTCCCTGCTGGGGCTGGGACCAAAAGCCCATGAGTATCTTGACCATCTGTGATGGGATGGTGGACAGCTCAGTGGGCTCATCTCTCCAGCCCCTCCTCCCCATCCACGTGCAGGATGAAGGCATGGCACGATTGTGTCAGATGAGGGAGGTTTTATTTGAGGAGCTGGTACCACACCAGAGGGGGCACGTCCGTACAGGCAGGTCCTGCTCCCACACTGCATGCTGGCCCTGCCAGGACCCCAGTGCACACAGCCAGGGCTGAGCTCTGCCAAAAACACTGCTGGCGCCGAGTGGGGCCCTGACCTTTGCTAACAGGGCCACTCCCCCCCCTCACTCCTGGCATTTCATTCCCAGTCCCACGTAATGACCTTCTCGGCAGCACCGTGCCAGCGTCTGCCACTTCCAATTACCCACGGCTGCTCAGCGCCTGGCGCAGCACGCGGGGCTCCTTCCTCCCCTCCGGGATGGCAGCGGGTTGGGGCATTGTTGCGCTGTGATCCCCCACCCTCGTGGCTCAGGCACCCTCTAGGACCCCCCCGACGCTGACCAGGTTCCAAGTCCCTGCCCTGGGGCGCTGGAGGTGCATGGCTTTCCAGAATCATTATTAACCTGTTCGAGAGCTGTTCCCGCTCACAGCGAAAATAGATCTTTAATCTCTGCCCAAAATAGCTCATTTGATGAGAGGCCTCCTTAAAGCTGACACATAAATTTAACCAGGCCGCCCGAGCCCTGTGCGGGGATGTCTGCAAATGCTCAACAGCACTTGAATTGTTGGGGTTTTTTTTTAATTCCATCATTACGGACACATCTGATACCATATTTCTTCCATCGGGTCATTCGCACTGCTCAGGAGGTGATTTGCTGTGCCCCCTTCCAGTCCCCCTGGCCCTGCTCATAAGCCAAAGGTTATTTTGGGGTATTTTTGGATGTTGATTTGACCGAGCAGTATAAGAGATTTCTTCTTGGAGCAACCATAGGAGTAGAAACCTCAGTTCTGAGTGGGATGGGAGAGACTTAGATGCTGCCCTAAGATGCCAGCAGCGAGAGGATGCTCTGTCCAGCTCTGGTGCCACTCTGTCCCTGGCTGTGTGCCATGGCTCTTGGGCTCCATGCCATCCTGGTGTCACATCAGCCCAAAAAAAGCACCGTTCCTCTGGCAGCAAAATGTTAGCTCTGTAAGTAAATGCAGGCTCTGGGGAAGTGGGAAATGGGGATGCTCAGTGTGTCACAGCTCTGCTTAGTGCCAGGTCCCAGGCTCACCCTGGCATCTTCCCAACATCTCCACAAGGCACGGGCTGGGAGAAGCCACTTGGCTGGTCTGGGTCACTTCCTCAGTCCCCCCCTTCCCCCCAGCTCCCCACTTCCCCACCATTCCAGCGAGACCCTGAGCAGCAAAATAATCACTTCCAGCATCATTATCCATTGCAAACCCCAGCTTCCAATTTTAATCAGAGGAGCTGGTGTTGCTTTAAGATCTGCGGGTTTTAAAGATCACAAGAGGGGTTAGAGAAAATTACCCTTGACTCTTACATGCTAATGTAATCTCTAACCAGATCTGCAGCACTGCAGCTAAAATTGCTTTTTAGATTAACATTTAATTATTAACAGGGCCCCCTGAAAGGCCTGGGGCTGGAGCACGCGGAGGGGAGCGGATTATCCGGGTGGGATGGAGCAGCAGGCGGGCAAGGGAAGGTCGTGGGGTGGCCGGCAGTACCGTCTGTGCCTCGTGGCACCCTCAGTGGCAAACTTTGGGCTTTATTTTACCTAGTGCTTGCCATGGTTTATGGTGGAGTGACCTTTCCATGCTTACCCATTGTAGGGCTGAGCTGTGGCATCACTGGCTGAGTGCTGCAATCCCTTCCACCCTAAATCTGGATGGATATTGACATGAGCTGCCATGGCAGCTGCCGGTACCACTGTGATGCCAGTAGGCAGCACCAGCCAAAATCCTGCTCACCCTGCAATGGGATGGGCACCTGCTGCATGCAGAGAGGAAGCCTTCCTCCTCTGGTACCTCCTCACCCTTGCAGGGTGCCATTGGATGGGAAACCAGTGTCTGTGGGGACCAGGGATGGTGGCAGTGGCTGTACCAGGGCTGCTGTGGGTGTAGCACCAATGTTCCTAGTGTTGCAGGGAACAGGAGCACTCTGGAGGGGCAGTGGGATTCTCCTCCATCCATGGAGGGACAAGGGACAGGGGTGTCCCTGGTCATGGTGAGTAGCCCTGGCACTGCAGTGGGTTGTGTTTGTTTTACTTAGCACACCAGGGACCAATGAGGGCTTTTGCTTTTTTTCCCTGCTTGCTGCCAGCCTTGGCCTGGCTCCCATGCTGTCCCGTCTGTGTGTTGGGTGCTGTTGGGAGCCTCCTGTGCCTCTCCCAGCTGGGCTGACCCCGTCACCTCCTGTTCTTGTGCCAAACCCAGCACTGACTTTTAATAACCATGGGGGACTTGGCAGTGGCATGACTCAAACAGCTTTGCAGTGTCCCTGTTCATCCCCTCCTTCCTCTCCTAACCCCCAAAACTCCTCTTTCATGGGATTACACTTCAATAGTGCCCAGGGAAGGATGCAGACATGTTGCAGCAGAGCCTGGATGGTGACCAAGACCTTGTCCCTCACCATCCCTGCCCTGTCCGCTACCCTCCATTGCCCAGCAACCGCACAGACCCACTTCAGGCTGAGACTTCAAAAGTTCCTTTTTCTTTTCTCCCCCTCCCGTCACATTTTCTTTTATCTAAATCCTCGCCTGTGAAAGCCTCTATCGACAGCTGCGCTGGCCTTATCTCGCCGGAGGGACCTTCGCAGGGCTCTCAGAGGAGATAAGCCCGACTTATCAGCCACTGATGTCAGAGGAGGTGCCAAACCCTCCCGTCACTCGGGCTTTAGACATAGAGGGTGGTGTTTTTTATTAAAGTCACGAAGACCTTGGGCTTATAAATAGTGTGATGTCGAGATGGATTAGCTGGGTGTGGGGCGGGAAGGAGTAGTGGGAGAGGGGAAGGATGGACTTGTGGCTGCCCCATCCCTGGAAGTGTTCAAGGCCAGGTTGGAAAGGGCTTGGAGCAACCTGGTCTAGTGGAAGGTGTCTCTAGTGGAAGGGAGGGGGGTGGAATGGGATGAAATGTAAGGTCCCTCCCAACACAAACCATTCTGAGATTCTAGATGATGCCAGTTGTGAGTTGTGGGATGCAGGGTTGGGCGTCCTGGTGGGAATGTCTTGCCATGTACAGCAGTGCTGGCTGGATGGTGGTGGATCCACAGCCTGGGCAGAGGCCGTGCGGATGCGGGGCGTTCCGGCAAAACTGCTGAGTGTTGCCTTTCCTGCCACGAAAGAGCCAGAGCAGCTTGAACTAAATCGGATCCTGCTGATTGGAATTAGTTCAAATGCAGATGGAGCTAACTAAGCCGGCGCTAAGCGTTGGACAGCCCAGTGCCCAATTCCCATCAGCTGATTCAGGGGCTTTTCTGAGCGGCATTAACAAAATGCCACCGTGGCACAGATGCCCATTGTGCCGGGCGCCCACCCTCCCGCCCACGGGCGCTCTGGGAGCTTGGGGCCCCCGGCAGGGTGCCAGGGTGGACAGATGGATGGTGTTGTGGCACCGGAGCCCTCGTGGTTCTGAGTGTGCCCGTGAAGTGCAACGTAGCTGTCGGAAAAATCATCTCTGCTGCGAGACGCCGGGAGACGAGGGCAGAGCCGGGGTCTGAATTAATCGGTGCCTTTATTCGGTTTGGCAGGTGGCTCCTGCATCTCAGTGATGCTCCCTGGGCAGGGTGGGGATGGCTTCAGGAGGGTGCTGGGCTGTGTACGGCAGTGGTGGTGACAATGGTGACAACTTTCGCCAGCGTGGGGGTGTCCCCAGGGACGTGCATTGCTGGGCCCCAGAGTCAAGGGTGCCCTCAGCTGCTGTGACAGGTCACCAGCACCTCCCTGGACCAGGGCTGCACCCGTGCCCTCCCTGTGCCTGCACATGGTTTTGGTGACCCCCTGGGTGCTTTCCCCTTGCCTTCCCTGTGCTGGCACATGGATTCAGTGATCCCCTGGGTGCTTTTCCCATACTTTCCCTATGCTGGCACATGGATTCAGCGGTCCCCTGGGTGCTTTCTTCTTGCTCTCAGCTGTTTCCCCAAGGACCATCAGTTACCTGATCCTCATCCAGCAATGGCACGAGCCGCCCACGGCGCCAGTGTCTGCCAGGGACACAGGTCAATGTCCCCATGAGGAGCCGCCTCTCCGCAGGGAGGAGGTGACGTCCATTGCTAATCGGCCAGATGGTGACACCCGGCGGGACGCCAGCCCTGAGGTCACTGCAGAGCTGGGGCTCAGGTACAGCAGGAGCCAGTGCCGTCATCCATCCCCCGCACGGCCCCGGGTGCCCTGACCTGCGTCCACCCTGCAGGGACAGGGATGGGGACAGGGACGGGGTCAGGCGGCTCCTGGCACGGAAAATCCAGGCGGTGGGCGCGTGCCGGGAGAGCTGAGGCACCGGGAGCAGGGCTGCGTAATGAACCCCGAGTCCCGGCGGGGAGAGGCGAGCTCCTGGCAGTCAAGTGTGCTCAGCCTCTGAATAAGAAGCACTTCATTCTCTTTTCAAACTGTATAATTTCTGCCTGATTGTAATGGCATATTTTAAAATTACCAGAAATCGAAGCCAGAAAATGGATACGGCTGCTTTTACTGCGAGCTGCGTTAACAAAGGATATGTAATGCATGAAATAAAAACACCTCCCTGCCCCCCTCCTTTTTTTTTTTAAGACAGTAATAGGAGAAAATTGGTTTTGAAACTGAATAAAAGTCCCTTTCAGAGGAAATCATTTCTTTCAGGGTACCTTTGCTGAAAGTAAAATAGTGAATAATGAAAGGTGGTTACATGATTGTCTTTCATTTAGAGAGCGCGAGGACAGATGGAATCTGGGAGAAATGCACGATTGGAATAATTGCATGGTAACAAGGCGCTTGTTGTGAAATTAGTATCTTAAGAAAGTAGTGAAAAAGGCTTTTACTCATGAATACTTCATTATTAGGAGAAAACAGCACAATTTGGGTTCTCCAGACACCTGCTCGGTATTAGATTACTTCTTCCTCCCCTCCTCCTCCTCACACCTTTTGCCGATGAGTCTCCATGCCACCGGTTTGCTGGGGGGAGATGGGGTGAAACCCCCAGCCCCATGGGCAGAGCCCAGCCAAGGCACAGACACCCTGCATGGATCCCATTCCAGGGACAATCCCAGGGCCTGGGACCCCCTGCCTGCGGGAGCAAGCGGCACACGTGCAGGTACCGTCTGTGCCTGTGGTGACTGTGAAGGGGTTTCAAAGGGTGACATTTAAACCAGTGAAGCACAGAGAGCCCCGGGCACGGCTCTGGGATCATCCGTCCGTGCTTTGCTTCTTGGCAGTGATGGCCACGGGCTCTGCCAGCGCCTGCCCGAGGCCACCACGTGCCCGAGGCCACCACATCACTCCCCTGCACGGCAGTGCCAGCACCGCTCACCAACACTGGGACATGTGGGAAACATCCCGGATGGCTGCAGGAGGTCACGATTCCCCCCCAACAGAAGATGAAGTGATGTACCCAGCAGTGACACCCGTTCGTGACCTCCAGTTGTGCCCCCTGGCCATCCGTAAGCGTTCAGCCGGAGAGCAGTGGCTCAAGAGCTGTGACACCGTGGATGGGCATCACTGCCTGTTTTCCTGCTGCTCCCGCCCATGTCTCCCTGCCCTCTCCAAGTGGGAATATCTCTTCCCGCGCCAGCCGGAGCAGTGGGAGGGTGTCAGCAGCAACTGGTTATAACTCACGGCCTCGCGGCGGCTGGTGAAGGGCGTACAATGAGCAGCGCGGTGGCGGCGGTGACTTTGGCCTGACCCCTCCAGCTTTTGTTGAGCAGATTTTGATGCCAGCTGGGAGCTGGCGACAGATCCCAGGACCCAGAGTGGGATGTTAACACTGTCTTTCCCCAGCCTTGGCCAGGGTCACTCTGTGCCGGGAGGTGCTGGCTGGCACGCTGGCAGAGCAGTCTGGCACTGCTGGAGCGCCGTGCCGGGGGGATGCCCCAGCTCTGCCCCATTCCCAGTGGGAAGGGCAGAAAGCTCTGCAGGCAGCACAAATCACCCACTGAGACCTTCATTTCTTTTATATACATTCCTATTTCTTTCTGGCTTTCAGAGTTAGTTATTTATCTCCAGAGGAGCAAAGGGCATTGAGCGCCATGGAGGTCCTGCCACCAGCTCTGCTGGGTGGGCACGGGGGTAGTGACAGTGGGGTGGGCAGGTCCCCTCCCTCACCCGTGTCTCTTCTCTCTCACAGGGTGCGGGGCGGCAGTGCCCACCAGGAAACCCAGACCATGCTGGCCTGTCTGCAGAGGACCCAGAACCCCCCAGCCCAGCACCTCCCCTGCCCCAACAAGGCGCTGGAGCCGCGCAAGTGTAAGTGCCTGGGGGGGCGGGCACCCGCTTTGATGCTGTTTGCCTTATTGAAAAAGACATTTATTTAACCGATAATTAAAAAGAGCAGGAGAAGCGGGAAGTGGAGGGGGGGGAGGAAGGAGCCAAGATAAGCAAATTAAATTGGGTTACTGTGGTTGATAAGTCCAACTTCAGCAAATGTTGCAGAGCTGCCTGGGAAGCGCGGCGGCAGCAGCGGATGGTGCCATCGCCAGCTCCACAGCCCCCTAAACCACCCCGGCCCTTCCCCCCCTAATTACTTTCCCCGTTTTGCTGCAGCTCGCCTTCCCCAGGAGCTGGCCTTTCAGATAAGCTGTAAACTAGTTACATTAAAATGGGATCCAAAAGGTCACTCCGGCAAAGCACCTGTCTCTCCCAGCCTTTGTCTCTCAATCCAAACCGTGATTAAATGTATATTTAATGAGCCTGCTTTAGGCAGGCGTGTTTGACCTCCCCGGCTGGGAAAGACGCATTAAGATTCTCAAGTGATGAATGTGTGTTTTAAAGAGGGGAGTGGATATTTTTCTGCTGGTCTCAGTTGGATTTTTAAACATTGCCGGCTGAAGACAAATCAGCTGCTAAAGCTCTGCTTGTTAGGCTGTGACAGCCCCCGGGCGTTTGTTTAATGAGCTGGATTTTCCTGGAGACGTTTTTTTCCCTCTACCTGGGCACCCCGACACAGCTGACTCAGCCTGGCACGGGTGATGCTTGACCACCCTGGGGACCCCTGGCATCACTCTGGTGTGGTGTGGGTTACACTGCCAGACAGGAGGGTTATTTGTTCCTGGAAGTTATTTTGTCCCTGGAAGTTATTTTATCTCTGAAAGTTACCTCTGGAAGTGTTCAAGGCCAGGTTAGATAAGGCTGGGAGCAACCTGGTATAGTGAAAGGTGTCCCTGCCCATGTCAGGGAAGTGTGACTGGGTGGTCTTTAAGGTGACTTCCAACCCAAACTGTTCCAGATCCTGTGATTTTTTTGTGTGAAGCTCCCCAGTATCCAGCACAGGGAATAGAATACCCAGTCCAGAGGTGAGGTGATGGGCACCCACATGTCACAGGCAAGGAAGCAGCTTGCAGTGCATCAGAGCATGTGGTGCTGCCCAGGTCTCCTCCTTGTCAGTGCCTGGAAGGAAAATGTATGTTGCTCTTGTAAAATTGTTCCCAATCCATCATGCTTGGGCATCATGAGACACAGGGCTGGCATGAGGTGTCCAGCTCCTAGAGCACCTCATTGCAATGGGATAGTTAGCTCAGCCGTGCCCACAAGGTCCAAGACCTGTGGGCAGGATGAGCCTGGCAGGGTTTGCTGGAGATTGGAGGTGTTCAGCACAGAGTATGTTGGTGTTGAGCTGGTGTGATGCTGAGGTCAGAATACACCTGCTGGTCCCTGCAGCATTCCCTGGATGCAGCCCAGGGCTGGGGATCATCTCAACTCACAGGGTGAGGCCCAGGGGCACCCTCCTGCCATGGAGTTGGTGCTCTCCAGCATTTCCCAACCAGTCAAGATGCTGAAATAAGGAGGTTTAGGAAGTAGGAGCCCATAGGCTCACCCTGTGTCCCCTGGTGGGGGGACACAGCAGGGCTGAGCTCCCCTCCAGACCCCTGTGCCGCGCTTGCTGCCGGCCGCCACCAGCCAGGTCACCTTAATCAAAGTTTAGCTGCCCGTATGTTTCCGCTCATTATGGGCCAATCCGGCCCGTCTCGCTGCTCCCTGCCTCCCACCAGTGCAAATTAAATTGCAGGTGACATCCAGGGCCACGCATCTGGCTTGGAATACAATTTTCCCTTCTTTATTTATGGCACCTGCGGTGAGCGCGGCGTGGAGGGGCTGGAGAGCCGGCACAGGGCCGAGCCTCCAGAACGCCCGTGTAGGTAATCGACACGGAGAGCGTTCTCTTAAAACCAGGCGCAATTTAGAAGTGCTTCTGATTACTTAATTTGCTCCTGAGTATCTCAGTAATTATCTTTATGGGTCTTATTTCTGTCCTCTGGCATTGTTTCTGTCGATATTAAATGAGTCTGGCTCTCGGCACATTGGCCGTCTGGCCCGGCACCACTGTGAAATCCTATTATCCTGCCCGCGCCGCTGATTAATTTTGGTATTAATTTCACGTAAAAGGTGAGCTGACTAATTTTCCTGCCCATGCAGGGAGCTCCCAGCCCAGTGTCTTTGCCCCACAGTTCTGCCCCTTGCCTCTCCTGCTAATTGTCATCCCCCCATCTCTGTGCCCCCTGCACCAGTGCAGCTGCATCCCAGTGGGCTCAGAGCATCCCACAAAATCCATCCTGGTAAAGATGGAGGTGACTTTGCTGCCATGCTCACCATTGCCAGCCAGTATTCCCAGGGCTGTTCCACAGGCACTAGCCCAGCATTCTGGCATTACATCCTCAAGGAGGAGGATGCAAGAGGGTGCCAGAGCCCTCCCAGCCCTGCCTGTGCCTCCAGCCGAGGAGCAGGAGCCTGTGGAGAAGCAGCATCCTCAGGAAAATATCACGTCCAATTAACTGCAGCAGCCTGGTCCCTTTTGATTTTATTCTGGGCGCATTACAGGAATCCTGAGCTTTATTTAAATTATAAATCAAATAATACCCCTCTCAGACTGACCAAACTCTTTGCTGCTCCTGTTCTCGGCAGTAACAGAGCAGTGGCTGGTATGTAATTAAATGTTACTTCCCATGTGCCCTACTCCAGCCAGCCTGGGGCTGGATGTGTGGAGGAGGGCAGGATGTATTCCCCCTAAGGGGCTGGGATCCATAAAGAGCTGGGAGCCGTGGTGAGCTCACAGAGCTCCCTCCCTGCTAACCTCAGGAGCATCCTCCATCGCCTACAAGAAAGATGAAGAGGGACTCTTTACAAGAGCATGGAGGGACAGGACAAGGGGGAATGGCTTCAAACTGACAGAGAGCAGGGTTAGATGGGATACTGGGAAGAAATTCTTCCCTGTGAGGGTGCTGAGGCCCTGGCACAGGTTGCCCAGAGAAGCTGTGGCTGCCCCATCCCTACAGTGTCCAAGGCCAGGTTAGACAGGGCTTGCAGCAACCTGGGGTAGTGGAAGGTGTCCCTGCCCATGCTGGGGGGTTGAATGGGATGAACTTTAAGGTCTCTTCCAACCCAAGCCACTCCATGATTCTGTCACTGTGCACATCCTCCTGTGGGACCTGTCACCTCAGCCCTGCTGGGACAGTGTCATAAATGACTCTCTGGGGATGGCATGAGCCCTCCCGGGGTCTGTCTGGGTATTAAAATACCAATGAGAGGGGATGGCCCTTATGAGAGGTGATGGCCAGGGCTCAGCGAGTGGGCATCCCGCTCTGGGATCACCCACACCTCTCCCCGCTCACCCGTGGGGACTCTCATCAGTGATAAACCTGTTTAATTGTACATGGGATGAAGGCCTGTTTAATGGCTCCTCGTTACCCAATTCTGCTCATTCCAAGGGCATTTTCATTAGAGTGGCTGCAGCCAGGCTCTGCTCATGTACACACCCATAAAATATCATTTTAATTTCATGAGGGGTTACACATGAGTGAAGTAAGATTAATTCTTTCATTTTCACTTTCTGGAAGGGATCGGTTAATGATGGTTCTGTGTATTTATGTACGTGCCATAAAAGGGAGTTCAATTAACTGCTGGGCCCAAAATGTGCTGTTGACTTGCACTTTCCCTGCCAGGAATCGCTGCAAAAACACTTTTCCATTGGTCACGTGCATGGTGGGGATGGAGGCTGAGGGGGGGCTCAGTGCCCACTTCCCAGGATTACACCAATCCATCGGCTGGGCACTGGCAGACCCCAGGATGGGCCACTTTGCATTGGGAGCGCCCACCCTGCTCCCCTCAGCAGGTGCAAAGCCTGTGTCTTAAATTAATTCCAGTACTAATTGGCTGTAGATGAATGGGCAGAGGGGCCGGGGGCAGCTGGGAGGAGCTGTGGAACTGCTGAGGGTGGTGGGATCTCCTCCTGGTCACAGGGTCCTCTCAGTGACTGTGTGGTGAGATGGCACTGGGTTGGCATCAGGGCTATGTTGGGTGTCAAAGGGTGGCACTGGGGCAGCACTGGAATGGCATTGGCATAGGGTTGTGTTGGGATGGCCTCAGGATGGCATTGGGGTGGCCTCAGGGCTCTGTTGGCTTCAGATAAGTGGCACTGGGATGGCTCTGGCGTGGCAGTTGTGTTGGGATGGCCGCAGGATGCCTTCGGGATGGCATCAGGACTGTGCTGGGGCAGTGTTGGGTGACATACAGGTGGCATTGAGGCAGTATTGTGGCAGCATTGTGATGGTGTTGGGGTGGCATCGGGGTGTCGTGGGAGTGCAATTGGGGTGGCACCAGGGCATCCTCATGGCCATGATGGCCCCTCTTCCTGCACCATTGGCCTTTGCTGCACCAACATGGTGGCTGCAGTGGTCAGTGGTGGCCACGATGGCACAGTGGCTGCGGTGGCACAGTGGCTGCGGTGGCACGGTGTGTCTGCGCTGGCCGGTGCACCGTGCACGGCACCGCGCTAATACCTCGTGGAGGAGACAAATGGGAAGTGACACGTGTGTGTGTAGACGGGTATTTGTGGTGACGCTTTGACTGCAGATAATAAAGTGCTCGCCCTGAGGTGATCCAATTCAGCAGCCGCCTCGGCAGAGCCGCGCGCCGACGAGGGGGAGAAGAAAGGGGAGGAAGAAAGGCCCGTCTGAAATGACATGTCAGCCTAAAAAGGGAACGTGTTAACGGATGAATATCTGGGGACGGCGAAGCCCGGCGCTTCCCTTTGTGCTTTGTCATGAATTTTGTTGTCTTTGCAGATTCCGGCGCTGCCGCGTGGGGTTTGCCACCTACGGTTATTCAGATGGATTTCTCCCACTATTATTTCTGTAGTTGGTTTAATTTAAGCCCCCAGGGCCAGGGCGTGTTTGTCTCAGCTCCTGGCACCGATGGTGCTCCACGCCGGGGTTCGGGGGGTCCCGCAGTGGGGACTCTGCAGCAGGGACACG